TCGGGGTTTCAGGAAGGCATCCATCTCAGTCAAGTCAAGCAGCCACCTCTACTTTTTTTGGTATACTGAAAAAGTAAATTGGGTGGTTGTTACATTAAAAAAGTCTAACTTGTAATTTGAACACAATAATTTCATGTTTCTATGAACGTAATTAAGTCATGAAGGATCTGTACGAAATTCAACAACTTAATTTGTTCTTGTTGAGATGACATGATACAATCTAGTGAGAGTGGTTAGTTGCTGAACTCATGAAATTCACAAGATCGCACAAGATTTCAAACTGCAGGAAAATCACTGGAGTTATAAGAGGCAGACAACTACACACACTACGTGCATGCTATTGCTTTTTGTTGTGGATTATAATAATAATGGATTGGATTTATATAGCGCTTTTCAAGGCACCCAAAGCGCTTTACAATACCACTATTGATTCACTCTCACATTCATACACTGGTGGAGGCAGCTACGGTTGTAGCCACAGCTGCCCTGGGGCAGACTGACAGAAGCGAGGCTGCCATATCGCGCCATCGGCCCCTCTGGCCAACACCAGTAGGCGGTAGGGTAAAGTGTCTTGCCCAAGGACACAACGACCAGGACAGAGAGCCCGGGGATCGAACCGGCGACCTTCCGGTTGCAGATGCGATTCCCAACCCCCTGAGCCACGGTCGCCCTTAACCTGTCAAGGACAAAAACAAAAAAATTCTGCATCAAATACAGGAAATCATAGCTTTCCTGAATTTCCTACATTGTTGGCATGGTGGTTAGTGCTGTTGCTTCACAGTAAGAAGGTCCTGGGTTCAAATCCACATTCTGGCTAGTTTGCAGTGGTATCTCTCTGGGTATTCTGGTTTCCTCCCACAGTTAAAAGTCATGCAGTTAACTGGTGATTCTAAATGACCCGTGAATGTAAGTGTAAATGGTTGTTTGTTTCTATGTGATAGACTGGTGAGCTGTTCAGGGTGTACCCTGCCTCGTAACCTATCACTTCAGGGTTATTTCCCAGCCCCCCTGCAACCAGGATAAAGATAGGAGGATGGTAGTTGTTGTAGACCCATTCAATTTTTATGGTAACCAGGATCTAGACTTTGTTGAACATTATGTAAAATGAAGACAACATGTAGTATTTAAGTGACCAAGTAGTATTGGTGTAAAAGTTATTGAATAGTGTTGAAATAAAATGACAAAATTGTGAAGGATTAAAACATTCCAAGAGCTCAACTTACTCCATCTGAACATGTTTCAATCGCGTTTTATGAACACAAAATGTACAGGTTTACTGAATATGAAAAGGTTGTGCTGATTTAACTCAGTTGTTTAAGTTTCTGCCAAAGCAAACAATTTGTGTGCAGCCAATGTCCACTACTGAATCAGGTTAGGGCTGTTCAATTAATCGAATTTTAATCACGATTACGATCTGGGCTTTCAACGATCATTAAAAATGACTGAGCCGATTATTAGCCCCTCCCTCGTGCTTTACTCTCGCGCTGCTCCTTGTGGCAAATTGAGCGCACCTCTCTGCATTTCGAACACGCGTCACAACAAATTAAGAGGACCCGAGGGAAGCTCGGAAAGCTAAGCAGAAGTTGTTTGGAGAGGAGAGTGACTGCCGCTGGTTGAAAAGAGAGGTAAAAAAAAACTTCAGTGGTGTGGAAACATTATGGGTTCGCAGAGTCAGACATCAAGTAGACATAGTGTGTAAACTTTGCTACGGTGTCGTAGCTGCACCACAGAGCAACACTGCAAAGTTCACTAAACATAGATGTTTACATTTTTCATTTACTTCTTATATTGCAAACATTTGCACTGTTATCAGTATTTGCACACTATTTTATATTATTTTTTAAAGTCATTATTCAATACATTGTTATTGTTAACCCTTTAAAGCCGGTCAGAGCAGCACGCTCCGTTTTGCGTAACTATTTTTAAATCCCTGTAGAACCGGAACCGCGTAAGCTAGCGCAATAATTTTTTTTGCATATGAAACAACACGAACTATCGCATGTCCGCCATTTCCTGCCCGAAACCGGAAGTGACGTCATTTTCGCGGAAAATGTAGTTTTTTACTTGTACTCCTTAAAAGCCTATACTGGTGTTTTTATAAGTCATGTTTGACTCTATACTTTTCTGAATAGTTTCTCTGATGCTTAGAACTTGAATTGTGCTGCTTAAAATAGTTTATTTTGATGCACCTGTTGTTTTCTTTGCAAATTTGCATCATAGGATTGTTTTTTGTTTTTCCTGCAGTATATAAAAATTGGTGTATCTCCAAAATAAAACTATGAAGACACTCAAAATAAGTTTCCTGTTATTGGAAACTATTTTTTGCAACTTTTTTGTATTTAAAGTTTTGAGGGATAAACCTCTTAAATTTCTCCAAATAGAAATATATGTAAAAAAACCAAAAACGATTTTCAATTTTTTTTGTAGTTTATTGCACTTTTTTGCAATTAATGTAGTTACTATGGACTTAATGCATACATATTATTAAAATATGGGCTATAACAGCACGGGCAGCACGGTGGCACGGTGGTTAGCACTGTTGCCTCACAGCAAGAAGGTCCTGAGTTCAATTCCAACATCAGGCCGGGGTCTTTCTGTGTGGAGTTTGCATGTTCTCCCCGTGTTTGTGTGGGTTCTCTCCGGGTACTCCGGCTTCCTCCCACCGTCCAAAGACATGCAGCTTGTGGGGATAGGTTAATTGGATAATCCAAATTGCCACTAGGTGTGAATGTGAGTGTGAATGGTTGTCTGTCCCTGTGTGTTAGCCCTGCGACAGACTGGCGACCTGTCCAGGGTGTACCCCGCCTTTCGCCCTATGACAGCTGGGATAGGCTCCAGCGCCCCCCGCGACCCTGAAAAGGATAAGCGGAAGTGAATGGATGGATGGATGGGCTATAACAGTTGTATAGCAACTTGAAATGCTCCCACAAATGGCACTACAGCATGTAAAAAAAATAATATAAGCTCTGGCGGACTTGGTTCTATGGTAGGTCTTAAAGGGTTAAATAAATATCGTCAAATAATCGAGATCTCAATTTCAGTGAAAATAATCGTGATTATCATTTTTGCCATAATCGAGCAGCCCTAAATCAAGTAAATCCAACATGGCCTTTTTTTCAGTGTAGTTGGTGTGTAGTGTAGTCAATAGATTTGTTGTGTGTGTCAGAACAACGAGGCGACTGCTGGGTGTTACAGATGTTACAGGAGTGACACATCTCCTGTTGTTTATTTTAAAAAATGCATTGGCTGCATTTTTTAAAGATGATCTTAAGTACAAGTTTCCTACTCCCACCCATTGTCATAATTGTCTGTTTAGCCATTCATTTTCGTAGTCCGTGGCTTTCATATCTTTCATATTTGTATCATCTTGTTTTTTGTTGTTCTATACTTTCCTACACATTTTCCTAAATGTTTCTTGCTTTTACTTCCTGTTTGTTTACATCATAGGTCTTCGGGGAATTTTTGCTTATTCGTCATTAGTATTGATTAATTGTTACTAAATTTTTATTTACAGTGTAATGAATTAGGTTTACATTATCTTCATAGCTTTGTGGCTACAGTGCCTGCGGTAGCTGGTGCATTATCCTGCACATTGCAATGCTTTGCATTGTCAAGTCAACTCAAGTCATCTTTATTTATATAGCACATTTAAAAGACATCAAGTGTCAGCCAAAGTGCTGAACAGAGGGATAATATAATAAGGAGAATTAAAATAGAATGAAAACATTAAAGAAAGATTGTAAGACATCCATATATGTTGTCATCCCAGAAGAAGCCGTTCTCATTGCAATTCTTAAATTCTTAATCAAAGCTTAGAACAACTTCGTAGTGATTAGTTGTCACACTCACATGTCTAAGAACAACTGGGTCCAAGCCATAACCAGATCTTTGTGTTGGTGTCAAGGATTCAGGACTTTAATTAGCCTTTGGCCATATGTATGTGTCTAGCTCTCAAAGCGTCAGTGAGTCGCTCGGACACTTGATTACTGAAGTGTTTTTTGATTGCTTTTGGCTACAGGATCATCACAGCTGAGAGAGGAGAAAAAACAAAATGACAAACCCCCCAAATCCAATGACCAGTCTCTGAATCACTGTCACCACCACTGACTGTAGGTTTGGTGCAACATTGCCATCTGCTGATAAGTAACTGGTATTAAAAAAAATATAGCTGGAGGAACATTTTGCAGCTAAGTAGCTTAATTGACAACGGGTCAATAAACACGTTTGGATATAAACAACAGTGTCTTAGAAAGACAGAAAAGTGCTTTTTCAGAAGTAAAATGGCCACAGATTCACCAATCTGGAAAAAAATGTGGAAGAATTTCAGGATAGGGCATTATGGTCGTGCTGTGGTTAGCACTGATGCCTCAAGGCAATAAGGTCCTCAGTTTGAATCTATTATCTGACCCAGATTATTACATTTGGGATGTATGCAGGATTCGACTATATGAACACTGACATGTGTGCACTTTGTATTCATATTATTAACATTCCTTGTGTACACGGTATTAAAGTTTTGAAGGACGTTGAAGTTTTTCAAAAACAACACAAAGCATCCAGGTGTTGTTACGCTGCTGGGACGACAGCTCTCAGAGTTAGACGAGGCTCTATAACTATTTTCTTCCTGTGATTAATGTTCCACATGTCGGCGTCACTGAAGTCGCACCGAACCCCGAGTTGTTACAGATGGTGACTTGCATGGCACCAGTGAGAGAGTGGGAGAATGTTTGTTGTTGCTCAGACTGAAAATAGTTACATCATCTGTTGTTTGTCTTTTGTCTTGCCAAATGTTTTTGTGAAACACTGAAGCCACAATACATTTACAACAAACTTCACAATTGACTTGGCATTTTTGTACTGATGTCTTCATCTCTCTTGCAGGTTACTAGTTGAAAACATGTTTTGTTTGGTGTTTGTTTGTTTTTTTGTTTTTATAGCATTTCAATACTAAAAAGTTTTGTCTTTTCTGACTATTTTTTTTGGGGGGGGGGTCCCATCAGCCTGGAGTCTTCCTGAGGATCTACAACCTGCGAGCAATTGCAGGATCCAGTACAGTGCCTGGTCTTACCAGAAGCCAATTACAGGTAGATCACCTGGCTTTTCATCTGCACGGAGGGACGTCATATGGCAGAGGGATCGGGATTCTTCCTGATAACAGCCCTGACGTGCAGGAGCTGAAGAGGTACGGTGAGAGATGAGAGAAAAATGTGGTTTGTTCCTCGGCTGCAGCAGAGGGGTGGAGCAGTGGGTTCAGGGTGTGGTGTCAGGTGATGACTGACTAAAACTGACCTCCATCATCTTATTGTGACTGTTTGGGTAGTTTGCCGGGACATGGCGTGAGAGCATTGTGGGGAGCGAAGCAGGAAGAGACAGCTTGCAAGCTGTATGAACTGAAATTGTAAAGCTTTTGTAAACAAACATTTACGTGCATTACAAGTCTGTGTGAGTGGGGTCCTTTTGTCACAGCAGCACTGGACAATATGAAGAAAAATGCATTTATCAGTAACACACAACTGTGCTCCCACACTGTTTTACTAGTAACTATACCAGTTGAGTAAGTAAGATCTACTTTAGACACTTTTTTTGAGAAAAAGTGTCTTGAAAAAAACGTTTTAGGGAAGCCTACTCCATGGTGTACACAGCTGTCCATAACGGAGTATTATCGCCACCAAGACTTGATCTTGGTTAAGAATCAACCCTGTATTATGGATGCTCTTGTTTTTGTCTGTAAACTATAATTTTATTGTAGTATTTGATTCATGTTCCTGGTTTTATTTGCTAAGTGTGTAGTATTTTTTTGTCATCTTTGTTTTTGATTGCATCACTAAATACATTTCTTTTCTTTTTATTTCTGTCTATAGAGTTATTGAAGCTTTCCAAGAAAATGATGAAGAAGCACTCTCTGAACTCAATGACTCAGATCTCTTGGAGGTCTGGAAAACTCCACCAGAGTCTCTTGGTACGAATGAGCTCTAGATGTCGCACTTCCGTACTAACTATGGTCACTGCTGCTCCTACTGATTAAACTTAAATAGATTTCAAACAAGTCTGATTTTACAGGACACTTATATAATCGCTCACGCAGTAATATTATGTGTATAACATTCCAAAAACTGTAAATTCCAAATCCACAATTTCGTTTATACCTTTGTTAAAAAAGATGGAAGATATCATAGTTTTGTTTTTATTGTGATTGCGAAAAACAAATATGCTGTATTTGAACTTCATGTTTTACCTTAACAGACTTCGAAACATTACAGGAAAATAGGAATAATAATTGAATTCATGACATAGTAACAGTGGTATAGTTTTTTTTTATAAAGTACAGTTAGTTTAGTTTTAAAACCCAAATTAATTTACTTTTGTCCTTTGAAAGCTTCTGTTTGTGTAATGCTTGTATAGTGTTTACCTTTTATCTGTACTGAACAGCTAAAGAAATTTATAACTAAAACTGTAGTGTTGAATTTACTTCTATGTAGTTCTTCAGATATTGCTTTACAAACTGTTGTACAGTACCAAGGAGATGTTTAATTCAGGATAGCGAGCTTGCTGTTGTGTGCTAAATTTAAGCCTGTCCAACTTAATGCTTATTTATTTGCCTTCTTGTGTTTCGTTCCGTCTTTGATGCTTCGATTTGTTCTGTGTTGTAGATGGTGGAACACTGGATTGCAGTACAGGTATGAAATTCGGCACTGCATTGGTAATTGCTAATTGGTTTGATTTGGAAGTGCAGGTAATGTATTATAATGAATATAAAGCAGTAAATTAGGACCAATCCTGTCTAAATAAAAACGACTTTTTTAAAAGTAAATCCTTAATTTATTTTAAAAATGACATCTGTGTATAATTTCTAATGTGGTTTTATATTTATTTACCATTTTAATAATTGTTATCCATTCTATTTACTATTTACTACCAAGTGTTTAATGATGAACATTTTTCCTCTGTGGGTTGGTGTTTGTGTTCAGAGAGAAGCTGTGGCCATGACATGCAGAAGGTGACACTATCTGAAGTTAAGCGGAGTGGCCTGGGTCGAGTTCACCATGTCAGGGCCCAGCTGAAGGCCTATGAACCCCACAGACTGCATGAGGCACTCAAGCTTTACTGCAGCAAGTGTAAATCAATGTAGGCACATACGCTGTGTTGTTGCTTCATGTGGTAATGTGTAGATTTTAGTGCTGTCAGTGTTAATCTCATTAAAATGACATTAATGCCATAACTGCAAATCTCCGTTAACGAGTTACCGCAGATCGCCCCGCTGGATGGCGCTAACGCATTAATGAGCTAACCGCGCTAACGCTTTGACGCCGTCCAGCCCCACGCAAGGGCGATCCGCGGTAACTCGTTATCAGAGATTTTCCGCGTTAATGCAGTTATGGCGTTCATTCATCATTTTAACAAGATTATCGCTGACAGCACTAGTAGATTTTGATTTGATCTCAGATGGTGTTGATATATAAGTTTAAAATGATGATGATCTCAGGCAGGATGTCCCAGATGATGAGCTGTTGGAAAGTATCTTCTCTGAGGCATCAAAGGACTGTGGACCCTGCAGTCCCCCACCATGGGTGCTCTCTGGACAGGTCAGCCTCCCAAGACACGCCCCAGGTCCCTCAAACCGAGCTCTAACTGTTTACCTGCTCACTCAGCTTATGTTTGAGGGCAAAACCAAGGATGTCATCTTGCTCATGGGTAACAATCCGCAATTATTAGAAAGCATAAAAGCTAAAAACATATCAAAAGAAATATCAAGACTGGTCTAGGAATCCTTCCATCATCAAATCCACAAAAACTCCGATATCTTGGTATCTTACAGGTTCAACACTGGAGGAAATGTGCCAGCTCATGGCCAGCTACCAGAACATCATCCCCGTAAGGGCATCAGGAGGTCACCTGTCTCTGTTCGACCTATCTGCACCTTTTCTGTTCAGAGGCAGGAAAAGATATTACGGGTCAGAGATAAATCTCACACACTGATAGAGCGCTGGTAGAGCTAAGCAGGAGCTTGATCAGTCATAACGATTCCATCAATATTGACAGCCACTGATTATTATTTATACTTTAAATGTTTTTCAAATTTATATATTAAATGGTTATACGCACATGCAATTTAAAGATTGTAACGAAGACAAATAACAAATAAATAAAACACACCCTTTATAATGACTCAAATACAAGCGAGCGTAGTCATTTTAAAGAGTGTGTTTGAATTTTCTTGACCCCGCCCACTTAAATAATGGATATTGAGAGGCTGTCACAGGCTGTTATTTTCTGTCATTTTTATCTCTTTATTTTTATATAATTAAATATTTTAAGAGAATTCTTAGGAGTAACTCATTCATAACAAAAATACAGAACAGATGATGCTTTTATTAATCCATTATGTCACCACAAGATGAATTTCCACAGTGAGACAGTATGTTTGGTTTTGTGTGTCTGCTGTTGTTGCCTTGTCATTTTTCTTATTCATAAGTTACTGTCCTTAAACAGATTGGCAGTTCAGAAGCTTTTATATAAAAATGTTTTTTGACCTTCAAATTCTGATTCAAACAGTCGTGTTAGTTCTTGAACATGTCGTCATTGTAGTGTGTGTGTGTGTGTGTGTGTGTGTGTGTGTGTGTGTGTGTGTGTGTGTGTGTGTTCCAGCTGTAAGCGGTGTTCCAAGGCTGCAGTGAGGGAGCAGAGTTGGGAAGGAGTTGAGATGATAGATGAGAAAATTATCGCTGAAGGTGAGACAGACATTTGTTTGAATCATCAGACTGTTGGAGTAAATACTGGTGGTGGAGAAGAGCTGAAAGCAATTAAAACTAACAGATAACACAAACTTGCCAATGCTTCATGTTCGTAGGGACCTGTGGGTTTGGTTTTTGTGGGAAGGGCTTTATTTTAAAACGTGAGATGAAAGCGGGCTTTGTAGTAAAAATGAATATGAAAAAGTAATCATTTTTTCTCCCGACTATCTTGTGTTTTTTTTACAACTTTTTCATAACTGAAGCCAAAATCATATTTCAACTTCCAAGTTCCAAGCAGCGCAACAAAGAACGAAGTGAATAATGTGGAGACATTAATGTGACTATTGTGGCAAAACAAACTCGTCGATTGTCAAATGTCAGCTAAGACTTCTCAGGCTGCACTTTTTCCTCTGTGGACATTGGCACATTTGAGTATCTTTGTGTTTAGAGTGTTGGTTAGACAAAACAAGACATTTAAAAATGGCATCTTTGGGAAATTTCTTATGCATTTTTTGGTCTCAATAAAAAAAATTTTAAAATTGACATTAGGGTTCAGCCCTGTTTTTTAGGATATCATAACTTTAATTAGGTGTTGACCTTGAATGCATCAAGAACAGATTCAAAAGTTATTATATTAGAAACCGCACTATTCCTGTGTTTGTGTCTTTTTCTCACTTAAGTTTCCTCACTGAGTTGTAGAAATTCCTGGTTGATCTCTATCCAGGTCAATTTGAACTTCTGAAATAAATCAGGCGATGTTTCTGCTTATTTGGCCTGCAGCTCTCGGCATTCAGCCGCTGCAGTTCATCCTGCTAATGAAACTGGAGCTGCAGGATGCCACCGACACGCTGGATGTCTTCCTGTGGAGACACGCTGTGAGTTTCACATTCCTGTTGTTTGGTGTCAGATGGGATTAGACAAAGGGAGAACATCTGGATTTATTATATATTTCACTGTTGTCTTGTAAAATTTTGCGCTGATTGAGTTTTTTGCCCTAAAGAAGTCAGGTCCAAAATTCATATATTTTGGTGTTTTGGATGTCAACAAATCAAATTCTGAATTTTTAAAAGCTCTTGTCTAACCAAGAATGTGGGTAAAGTAGAAAAATTAATTTGCTTCTTACAGCAAGATATAAATAAGAGGATAACTGAAAGTAACTTTTGTTTATAATGTCTGTGAGCTTTGTAGATGTAAATGCTAGTTGTGAGTTTTACTCTCTTTTTTCACCAGGAATCATTCTTTGGTGTGTCTGCAGAGGATGCTTCAGCCAATCAGGAAGCTCAGAACAGCATCTGCCAAATCATGGACTCTCTCTGTCCACCAGGTGGCAACGTGGGTATGTCTGTCAAACCCATACACAGTACATAAAAAATTGACATAGCTTCTTGGTCAGAAAAGTTGAGGATGTGTGCCTTAAACCTGCATGTTTTTTTTTAAAAAGGCCAATAGGTCCCAGCTCCTCTGGTCATATTAAAAAAAAGGTCTGGCTGTATAGAAATCTCCAGTGCCTCTCAGCTACCTGGATCTCTGACGTCAGAAAAAAAAGCTTCTGTGTTTTTCATTGCAGTTGCTTCTTTCATGCTTTTTGGAAGTCCAGTTTGAAAACAGAAAGATGGAAATTGGAAAACACTCATAAAAATGTGACATGACTCATGTCCATCTTTCATACAGTGTGCATGGTCAAATCATTAGAATAATTCTTCAGTTTTAGTTACGGAAACATAATAACTTTAGATCTAAATTGTGTAATGAACTGGACCAAAACATAGAATCAGACATGGCATACTGAAAGCTTCAAAGGCATTAATTTGGCTTTTTAATATGTCTAACTTTACAGCTCTGTGGTAGAGATTTGGGGAAACAAAACATTGCACAAAACAGTATGTGAACAATATATATATCTATATATAACAATATACAAAAAAAACTTCCTGCAGCTTTGCAAAACCAGAAGCAGCAGCAGGCTTAATGTCAGCCGCAGGTTTGTGTTGCTGGATGCTTTGTCATGTCTGCCTGTTCGTCCTCAGGTCAGCACCCATGGCTTGATTTATGTTTGATGGCATATCAAGCAGAGGACGACGATGGACAGACTAAGACCTGCTATCAGGTCTGTCACACGACTGTTGTGAAACCCTCATCTGAATGATCTGACACCATCTGCACCACCTGTGGGAAAGATTCAGATAAAATTCTGATCAGAGGATTCTGATTCTGTCTGTTGTTGCTTTATTTCTTTACATTTCTATTTATTGTGTAAATAAAGTTAAAAACTGAATAAAATACCAACTGCATTTTCTTGCCATTTCCTGTGCTGCCTGGGTAAACTTTTGATGACTTTTCAAAATAAAAGGTGATTTTTTTTTTTTTTAATTACAGTGTATCCAGTAAGTATTCACAGCATTTCACTTGTTCCACATTTTGTGACTTTTACACCCTTATTTCAAAAATGGAGTAAATTCATTTTTCAGTTCAACATTTTATACACAATGATGACAGCATGAAAAAGGTTTGCTTGTAATTCTTGCACATTTATTACGTGAGTATTCACAGCCTTTGCTCAATAGTTTAAGTACTTTTGGCAGCAATTACAAGGTTCAAGTCTTTTTGACTATGGCCAGTTTCTCCCATAAGGTTGGATAGATTTTCAGATCTCTCCAGAGATTTTAAATCGGGTTCTGAGTCTGTCCAAATCTGTGCCATCCTGAAGCTATTCCTTTGTTATCTTGGGTATGTGCTTAGAGTTGCCCGATTTGAATATGAACCTTTGCCCCACACTGAGGTCCAGAGTACTCTTACACATTTTAACTGAATGAAGGGGCTTAGATTTTTCATGCAGGGCTAAAGACTGTTCAAATTTGGCCTCAGTCTTTCCTGAAGATTCTTATCCTGAATTCCATGACACCACTCCATGACCTGAACTCAGTGTGTTTCCCACTTTTACCAAATGCTTGAAGCTAGGATGTCTAATGTTATGAGATCATGGTTACCACATTAATATTTCTCCCTGCATACTTATTATATCTTGTGGCAACTTTAACTCCACGATTGCTCTGAACGCATCCTTCCAAATCTGAGAATTCTGTCTGGAGCTGGATTGTCAAAATCGTTTTTTACAAAATCTTTTTTCAGGAGATATTTTTCTTTTGCTAATTGCTCTGCACAGGACAAAGACAACACTTTGCTCCTGGTTTTTATATCATACAAACAGGAAAGAAATGACATACCTAGTATCAATGTATTAGGATGGTTTACTGTATATTTCTTAAATCTATCTGTTATTCGCCAAAAAAAAAAAAAGTCATTTGTCAGTCAAAATGCTATAATTCTCTACATACGTACGTACATACATTCAGAGAGAGGGAGAACCATAGCACATAAATCTGAAGTAAATGTGCCATGAAAAGGTTTCCAAGCAGCAACTGACTGTTAAGTCTATATTTATTGTTGCCATTTTAACAAATGCTAACATGAAATGTATTTGCAGGTTAAGCTTTTAATTTATCTTTGGAATAATGTATGGCATCACATTCTAGTGTCCTAAAACGCTGAGCAGCAATATTTGCTCTTTATGGATGCAGTCTCACTCTCCATTCCTCCAAACACCTTTCAGCATTTATCTGTGGGTTTGCAGCACCGTCTGCTGGTCTACTGAGTATATTCGTGATGTGATCTCGTCCCCCAATTAAGCATTAAGTGTGAATGCCCTTAACACTTGCAATCGTGGTTTTAAAAAAAGAAAGTACACTTTTTCATTTGCAAGGTTTAAACTATCAAGACATAATCAAAAATAATATGGTCCTTTGCAGGTCTTAAAATGAGGTAAATACCACTTTAAATGAACAACAAAACATGCCATGCCACTGTGGCATTGTTTATTTAACAAAAACTCTAAGGATACCCTATTATTGTAGGATAGACGCCCTTTCAGCAGTAATGACGTAAAGTTATACAGAAAACAGTTCCTCTATCAGTCTCTTACATTGTTGTGGAGGTTTTAGGGGGGTTTTGGGGTTTTTTGTGTTTTGTTGTTGTTGTTTATTGCCTCTCCTGTCTGCATGTAGCAATCCGAATTATTGTTTAAAGCCCAAGAAAAATGCCAAACAGATTTACTTTTCCAAGTGGACCTATTGCTATACTGGCCCACTTGATTGTCATAGTTTTTTTTTATCTTTATTTTTTATTTTAAGTTATTACAATCAGAACGGGGGTGGGAAAGCGAAATAAGAAGAAAAGAGAAGTTGGGAAGAGAGTTAACAGAAGGAGAGGGAAAGAAAAATGGAGAAGAGGGATAGAGAGAGAAAAGACACTGAAAATCTGCTTCACCACCTGCTAAAAAAACAAACAAGCAAAACGAAAACACAGCAGGGAAATCACAGCAACAACCAACATATGCATAAATAACAGTAAATAATAAATACTGAATCTTACTGAGCAGCACATTAGCACGATATGTTTAGAGGCAGCAGCCAACCAAGACGTGTCTGTGAGTACCTGTTTGTACACCTGTGTGTGTGTGTGTGTGTGTGTGTGTGTGTGTGTGTGTGTGTGGTATTTATAAGGTTTCTCCACCTAAGTGTCTAATAGTAGGTGTGTGGAGCCATAGCCCTGCCCCCAGGACATGAAGCGGGCATGGAGGAGATCCGGGCCCCAGACATCCCGAGGCCCCTCAGAGCACGAGAGCCCAAGGAGGACCACACACTCTCCTTTACACTAGGCTCAATTCATGTCTGCATCATGTGCACCTTTAAATCCTGTTTAAGTTTGAATAGTACAGGTCAGTACTAGTGCACTATTTAATACCCAAATTTTCTATCTGATGGCACACAAGAGTAAAACAACAACAACACATTTCTTTTAAAGGAAGTTTCAACTTATATGTGTTGTTGTTGTTGTTGTTTTTCGTATGCTCCCCTTTAGTGCCTGAAAACCTTTCACATGAACTCTTAAGTACAAAAATATAAATGAAATAAACATGTTTCCAAATTCTGGAGCAACCATAAACATCATTTTTCTGACGATACACATCGGTACCAAAGCACGTTTAGAATATTGGACGGTTTAATGTAGTATCCGGTGGGATTCAATAGCAGGTTAAAGAGACGATAACAACCACCACCCCCGGCCCTAGTCCCCCTCCCTCCTCCTCTTCTTAGACGCTCTGTCACATCGAGCTTGGTCGTGTCTCGCATTCGTCGGTGCTCCACTCCGGTCCCCGGGCGCTCCGGACCTGCCACGCGTGCAGAAACGTACTGTGGACCTACTCAGGAATTCTCCATCCCAACACCCAATTCCTGACGCTGAGGATTTACTTATTTAGTTCACAGTTTTCAGCCCAGTTTAAAAACTTTTCCGATTAGATTTTTTTTTCTCACCGGTGATGCCTCCGGACTGGAGACGCACTGGGACGCACCCGAACGTGAAAGGTGCAGCACTCTTAAACGGCCAAAGACTTCGAGGAAGCTCTGTGTACACAAAAATGAAAGAAAGTTGACGGTTTGGCGGCAGATTTGAGTTTAAAAACTATCAAAACCCAGAGATGGATCAATCGATCACACGGTTTCATTTTGCGGTTTAGCCAGAGCCATGAGGATGTGTGCAGCCCTGAGTCTCCTGTGTTTGTGGCTGTGCAGCGAGGCCGTCGTTTGTCAACTTCACTGGGACAAAACAAAGACGACGTTTAGTCCTTATAATAAATCCGCCACCGTTGAAAGGAATGTGCACAGCCGGAGATGGCGCACAGTCAGCCAGGAGGGCCGTGGGGGGACACGCAGTACGAGTGCAGAAGCCTCATGGCTGGTTCCTCTAAACTCCTCGTCGTCTGAGCTGCCAGAGAAAAAGATCACCAGGCGCTCTCTGCGTGAAGGTGATGCCCAAAGTGGAACTCGGTCATTTTTACCAGAAGTTTTAGTTTTAGGCACGAAAGAAAATGATAAAGATGAGCCGAGCAATGAAGTGTCTAAACAAACCCAGCATGGACACAACTGCACGCGCAGGATGAGTGGACGCACACGAAGGCAAAGGCGGGTTGCCGTATCCGGCAGGGCGACGCACAGCGAACCGCTACCTGTGGCCATGGCGCAGGAGCTAGAAGCCGACCCCCCCTTCAGACTCAATACAAGTGACTATGAGGACGAGTACTCTCTCCCGGACTTTCCCGACACCACGCGGCTCGTTCCGGTGAACACGCGAACCAGACGCAAGCAGGTAAAGAATCCATTCTACCCGGTAACCGCGGAGTCGTACGGAGCCTACGCTGTACTGATAACCGCCGCCCTCATCTTTACAGTGGGCATCATTGGGAACGTGTCGATCATGTGTATTGTATGTCACAACTACTACATGAGGAGCATCTCCAACTCGTTGCTAGCCAGCCTCGCGCTCTGGGATTTCGTCATCATCTTCTTCTGCTTGCCGCTTGTGGTGTTTCATGAGCTCACCAAGAAATGGCTGCTGGGAGAGTTCTCATGCAGGATTATCCCCTATCTGGAGGTGAGAGGCAGGGTGGTGGGGTAGTGATGGTTTGGTAGTCCCTCATGGTGCAGCAGATATAATTGTAGCCGAGTTCATCTTACAGGTGAGACCATCGCGGTCAAGTGAACCTCTAAATTGTTTTGCGCATCTACACAAAGCGCTCTCCTTCGTTCTCCTCCTCAATACACAATAAATCCTCCAATGACTACCTGAGACTGGCTTCAAAAGTGAGTCAGTCCATATATCAGTTTTTATTCCAGGACCAGGTCCAGGACCTTTTCCCCCTAATCCCCAAGTTTCATTTTATCTTCTTTTCAATTTTGCTGGTAATGAGCTTTTTCATTCATGATTTCTTGAAATGTGACCTGCATCCACAATATATCTGTACAGAGTTCCTTCTCAGCCAGGTGCATAATTCCTGACATGTTAAAAGAACATTATTCTCAACTTCAACACGTGTTCAAAACATTAATCAAAAGTGGCTCTTCATAGTTGACATGAAACTTTCAATACATTTCTCCACAGGCTCATCTACTCTACATCTGTGCTAAATTTTATTTCAAAATTAAAGGTCAACTCTGCTCAAATTGAAAAACTTAAAGGGATGTAATAATGTCATGTTAAAAATGTACTAAACATCGTATATATGATAGTTGACATGAAATGTTCCTCTTGGAAACCCACACTGTGTGTGTAGAGTTTCATCTTAACCCACTGCATAATTTCAGGAGAAATAAAATTACATTTCTGGTCAAACCCAACATGCTCAATCGAATATAATATCACATTAAAAAATTACTCTACATATGTGC